TCGTACACATTACAGACGTACTACGATGAAGATGGATCATTTCATGAAATCTCTGCTATTAAATATGATTGTTGTCTGATATTTTCCTACACTCAATTTATATCCATATCTACATAAACTCAAACGTTCATATATTTTTTTTTCTTCTCTACATTCTCTTCTTGCTGTCATCATCATTCAGACTGCGACTATCGATCGAATCTGTTTTAGTTTCTTTCTAGACAATTAAATTCAAAGCATAATGTCCGCACAAACACAAACACACAACATTCATTCCGATCAATTTGGTAATTAAGTTGCGGCAAGTTGTTGTGGACAACATACATTGAAAGAAAAAAAGAAGATTTATCCACCGCATCGATTTCAAAATTTCTTGACGCTTTCAAATCAGTATCACATCAGAAGCGCGACGAGTAATTGAGACGCAATTTTCTTTATTGTATATTACGTAGTTTTTCTTACTCCAAAAAAGCTCGTTGTTTTGTCTCATGGCGCGCAATTAATAGTTCTACCCTTGTTTTAGCGTTAATCATTTCGAAAGCTACACATTAATGAACATCCAAGCGGCAGACACCTAATAAATATCATGTGAATTCTTTTGGAAATTCTGTTCTTGGTCGCTATGATAATCGCTAGTGCGTAAGTCGAACCGGAAACATAATATTGCTTAAAATCTATTGGTGTACGCGTGCAACCAGCTCACACATTCTGAAAAGCAGCGAAATTGAACCAAAATTAAACGTGAGATAGATAGAAAAAAATATATTGTAAGAGAAGAAGAAGAAGAGGTTTGCTGAACAAAAAACAAATTATTCGAAGTGAATGTATTTATTGTGCTACATGAAACGATTCCAAGCAAATGATTCGTTGGGTTGATTTTTTTTTTCGTTAGTCGATGTGTGTGTGTGTTATATGTTAAACTTACCATGTATTTTTCGTACACTCGAAATGTTTTATTGTTCAAGAATCAGCCATCCATTACGGTCTGAATTTTAGATTTTGTCGAATTCTCGTTGCCAAACGATCGAATAAGCCAAAGTTTGTTGTAGCAATTTGTATGATTCTTTTGTTTTGCATCCGCAAGTTTTCTATATACGAGAGAGAGAGAGAAGAATAAAAAGCGGCGGCCAACATTCAAATGAAGTGTCAGTCATCGTTCTGTGAGCGCGCGTGCACACACTGGAGAACGATTTTAGATTGCTAAACTCAGTCTCGTTCATTCGCTCCATGTAATTTGCATTCTTTGTTTGCTGCTGTTGAAAACCGAAAATTACAATTTACATTTGAAATAATCAAAATGAAGAAGAAGTAGAAGAGAAAATGGGGAACAAAAACAGCATCAGCATCAACATGGTCGCTCGCCATTGGTCCAACAACTTATTGAATAATTAGAAACTGAACAACATTTTCATTTTGTTCGTGTAACATTTGAAAACGTTTTAACAGCTATCATCATGTCGATGTTTGACATTTTATTACTTAGTCTCGGCAACGGTACGCGCCGCAATGAAAGGAAATGAAATGAAATGAAAACATAACAAAATATGTCTATGAAAACGTCAGCCACATCAATTTATATGATATTGCAAAAGGAACAAAGCGACACACACATATAGAGAGAGGTATAGAGAGAGAGCGCAAAAACACGACAACACGAACGCAGTTTGGTTCAAAACCTTCGTCTATTTTAGGTCACTCTATAATTGCAGATCTCAAGTTTAGATTAAAAAGAGTCAATTTAATGAGAATGAGATACAGTTAAAAGTGTTGATATCAAATTACTTTTGTATTTATGTTCGTCTCTCTATCTATCGCTAAAATAACATGAGTGGCATTAAAATGGCATGAAAGCCACTTGAAGCACATATTACCGTATACAGACACAAAGTGAAATAAAGAACGAACGAGAGAGAAGAACACATCATCTTTTATTCTGTGTGCGCGCATTTCTGTTTGTGTTAATTGATAATTAATTCATTTCATTATCAGACGAAGTGCAAAAACAAAAGAAGTGTACATACTCAGTAAACAGTCAGTAGTCAGCACATTGAACATTCCAATATATTCAATGCAATGTTGTGAAACAACTGTGTTTTTTCATTGTTGTTGCTGTTGCTTTTGTCGCCTATAATGCCAAGTCTAACTCACTCGCAATCCCTATCGTCGGCTTGACGAAGCATAAGCGGCAGGCAGGCAAACAAATAGTCAGGCAGTCAGAGGCAGGCAAACAAGCAAGAAATCAACTAAATGCAAAATGAGCATAAGACAATAGAATGTTGCGCATAAAAATGCAAATTTGTACAAATGCATTCACATATCGTTTCAATGTTAGTTCGATGTTTTGCAAAGCATATCGTTTGAATGTTCAAAACTGAAAAATTGTTATGCATTTTTTTTCCACTGCGTCAGCCCAATTCATTCACCCGAATGGTGAGACGAATATGGGCAAAAACAAATTCATCATGCGTGTTCACATGCGTAACGGACTACTGCAACATTGTAAAATGCTGCTACTGCTTCTGCTGATGGAAATTTTTTGATTTTAGCATCTCTCTCTCTATGCGGCTTTCGATTCTCACATCTCCGATAATTATATTGTATGCATCGACCATTGAAAATTACAATAATCATATATAGCCTTATGTAGATGGAAAACATCTGGAAAATTCTTAAATAACAACATTACCAAGACCAAAATATCATTCTAAATAAGCAGAGAAGATGAGACAAAAAAATCCCCAACCAACTATGTTGGTAATTTGCTGCATTTGACTGATGCCATAATTTGTACTACATACAAATATGCCACACCTTGCAATCTAATGGATAATTTAGTAACTATGTTACAAGCTTAGAAAACATTACTCACCAAAATCCTCGTACACCATCCAACCAAAACATTTGTACGGACTAGCAAATCGGTAATTTTATGTTTGGTCGTTGTTGTCGACATATTTTTCATGTCGTGCCAATGTAATGCATTAATTTTTGTCATTACTGTGCTTGCAAATATGGACGTGAAAAAGATTAAAATTTACCGAATTTCCGAAGTGCAGGCAACAATATTGCTACACAACGGTGACTATGGTTGTTTGTAACATAAAACAGGAACCATCAACAACTACAATCGAATAAATGCGAAAACGATAAAATGCTGATATTTGATTCGATGCGATGCGAAACGAAGCGAAGATCAGGTTTTATATCCAAAACTGGCTGATTCAGCGATATATCGTTCAGAGCATTGCGTAGGCATATTATTTTGCAAATGGAAAGTTCCAACATCTATTTATTTTTTTGTTATTTCGACGAAAGGCAAATTAGCCTAACCATTTGTAGGCCTATGCGCCGTTAGCAAAATTGAGAAAAACTAAACTGTGTGCTGTGTGCTTAGTGAAATCTCTATAGAATAGATCTTTCTGTTATGTATCGTAGTTCGGACAATATGGTGAAGTATAGAACCGCACTACGTGTGGAGCCGGTAACTCAATAGACTCAGCGAACTAGGCATTCGCATAAAATTCCATCTCTTTCAATCTCATTCACATACAACGAGAGAGCGAGTTAGAAAAGAGCATGAGTATGTGTTTTGCAAACACATTGGCGTTCTAGTTGTGAATCGATTGTTCTTATGTGACTCTGGCTCGGTCGGCCAAGCTCTCAATATATCATAGTTAATTATTCTGTTTTAGCAGCCACAATACACATTCGATTGTATGATCGCACGATTTCGACCACAATATCACGTCATCGGTGTAGTAAGCAAGCAAACGCAAGCGCACACTCCCGCGAACAAGAATAGAGATAGAGACACACGCAGAGAGAGAAAAAGAGAAACACGAGTTGTGGAGCACAAAATAAGTGGTATTTATGTGGCAAATGTCAACTTCGTCATCTATCATGTTAATTATATGTGTGTATGTGCCACATAAGTTTTCTTCGACCCAACACGTTCAATAATATTCTCTATTTGCATTTCGACAAAATATATATACATATACACAATACATGTTATGTATATATCACGTTTGTTTAACCGAACGAACAAACCAACAAACAAACGAATTTAGAATATGGATCTAGAATAAACGTTTGAGTAAATTAATTCAATTTGGGGCACTTTTTTCTCTCGCTCCTACTGCCTCTATATTCAGTTTTGTTTTTTTCATCTTCTTCTCTTTACGTTGTATCTATTATTATTATGGGGTTTTGTTGTTTGTGTACACTATGAAATTTGCACTCATGAAAACTCACGAGGGAACGAAAAAAAAAATCGCAAAAAGTAGCACTAAACACTAACGACCGCAAAATTTATTCGTAGATTACAAACACACAAACGCATAACAAGCAAACAAGCAATAAAACTTGATAAACACATGTGTCGAAAGAGTTCGCGAATATAACAAGAACAAATGTAGAAGAAAAAACAACAACAAAATTAAAAATAGCACCACAGTAAGTGAAATCAATTTTATTGTGCGTATGAGCGCGTGATTGTGCATTGAAAGATCGGTGATAAAATGGTTTTTCAGATCATCATTCCTAAACCGGTTTCTTTAAAACTGAATTCAACATCGATGTTGAATTGCCCTGATGAATCTTACTCATCATGCGTTCACCATTTGTTTCTCACATTTCATGATTTTTGTATATGCTTCTGTCAAATGTGCGACAAGAAGACACTCGATCTGTTAAAGCTGACCGCATAAACACGCACACACACATGATTCATAGTGGCTAGTGAGAGAAAATAACAATAACAAAAAAACCATTCAAAAGAAAGTGGGTTGAATATAGTAGTAAATAATTCTTGAAAAGACATCAGTTGCATAAGTTATTATCATCATAATTTAAGACAAATGTCAGATTGAATGAATTTTCTTTCGTTCGGTCGATGAAAATTTCATCGTCGACGAGAAGAGAATAGACGTCACGCACCATATGTCAATGCCTTGTTACTTTTATTCCACAAGAACTTCGTTAAAACATTGATGGTGCAATGTGACAAAGGCACCAAAGTATCAAGCTGAAAAAGAAATAAACGGTTCGATTCGACTGCAGAAGTTTAACATTTTAAACTATGGAACAATTTTAATTATCTTTGATCTCCAGCAAGAACAACAGGAACGGCAAAAGAAGCAACAGCAGCAGCACAAAGCAGAAGTATGTTTATGCATTTTTATTATCTTTTCATTTCATCGCATTCCGGTTCGTCATTTTTGGTTCGGCTGAGTTTCAAACTTGGAACATTTCGACGATGACACTATTTTAGCCTTCAAAAACTCACGTATATTGTTGCATTATGCGTTTTTATCAGCTCTGGAAATCGTCAACACACGTCCCGTGCTATGTGTGTCCGTTCATTCTTTTCGATTGCATACTTTGGTTTGTGCTCTGCGAAGAGAACGAGTACAATGCAATTCAACGTCTATCTACTGTTAATGCCGTTCAGTTCTGTTGTTCCTGAAATATTTTTATTGCTTTTTTTTCCGCCTGTGAGCGTGCGATTGTCAGTGCGGAATGAATGAAATAAGACATGGTCACATATACATGTTCTTTCCATTCCATCCAAAATAAAAAGAAAACGATGGAGAAGCAGAGTTTTTTTTTGCGCCAGCTGACTTCTCACTTATTTAATGCGCTTTCTGTCTATCTGTCCGTTCGTTTGTTCGTTCTTTCGTTTGTGTACATGTACCGTGTTTGTGTGTGTATATTATTTCGTTCGTGTTTTGCTGCAAGACTACGCATTTTAAATGCCGTTTATGTCTTTATGTGCCATCACACAAAAGGTACAATTCATTCATAGTTCATTGTCAAAATATGAGAGAGTGCAGTCAACCACGTTAGAAAAAAAAAAATAATATGCAATTCAAAGACCCAAGCTCGCATTAATGGCATTTAAGAATGTATATTTATTCTCTCGTTCACTCTCCATGAGCAAGAGAACGTCTTATATTTCGAGTCTCGACTTCCTTAAGCCATTTTGACGAAATAACAACAATCGTTTTCATGGGCCTGTATAAATTAAATGAATAACAAAAACCGATGCAGCGACAACATAATGTCGATCGATATAAGTGAATCAACAATGCATTTTGGTAAATAAAACCTCATGCGGGTTACAATTCTCGCCGTTTGCTTGTTAAACAAACGAAGATGAACAACATAAAAATGCTATATATACATAGATGTTGAATGTATTGCTCTATTCTCTAATCAAATGCTTATGCGAGTGCATGGCAATCGGTAAATAGTATTTTATGACTTTGCCTCTCTCTTTTTTTACTATAGCTATTCAGTCAATTGACTGTTGAACAACTATTGCGCTTTTGTTTCGAGAGGCGAATTGACAAATTTACAGCCTCTTCTCTTATTTTATGCAGAATTACATAAATTTTTCGTATAGAGCATATGTCATCCAGAGAGAATTCCGGTAGTATTTTCGACTAACAGCCGGCATGCATTCAGTTTTTCGCTTGATTTGAAAATCAATCCCATAATTCCCGGAGCACCAAACATAACAAAAATGAAATGAAAAGACGAACATACAACAAAAATATTTTAGATTGTATATATGTAGTCGAGTCATAAAAAACAATTTCACAAGCTGCAGCCGAATGATCATAACTCATGTGAGTAGTAAAAAACAATAAACCGACATGAAAAAAAGAGACACAGATTGCGGGCGAGGGAGATAGACAGAGAAAAAAATCCTTATGCAATTGCTTCTATAAATGACTATACAGAGATTTGGAAATCCTGTGCATGTTAATTTAGTGCACGCGTTGTTACTAAGAGATAAGAATTATTACAGTAAATTGAATTGACTGGTGCACACAGTTCATACAATCATTTAATATAGACAACATTGCATATATGCGACATTTAAACTTGCAACGATTCATATATGTTTTTTTTTTTCATTGTATTAATGCTTCAACCAGTCGTTTGCCTTCTCTGTATCTCTGTCTCTGTCTCTCTCGCTTACACAATATAATTTCATTGCAATTACTCTCCATTTCCGTGGCATTGGTAGAATGCAATTCTCTCTCGGTTAGTTCATTTGTACATTCGTTCGTCGATTATTGTGAATTCATTACAATTATTTATATTCTCTGTCGTAGATTTGTTTTTTTTTTTTTAAATGTGTCTCTTCGTTCGTTTCGAGCTAGTTAACAGTTCTGAATATTGTCATATGTGTATGCATGCATATGACGACTGTATCTCCTTTTCAATGGTGACCAGAATTATAAAATATTCAAATACATAAAGCACAATTCGAAAATTGCCATATCGCAATGTAGTTGCATTTTGTTTCGATTTTGTTTCGTTTTCATTTCGAGTGATTAAATACCCATACAGGGATGTACGGATTGTCACGTTAAGTGCTTTCAGTCATCTTGAATATGTGCAAGTATTCGATGTTTTTGTCACACACACACAAAAACAAAACAATTTAAATAATTGCACTGCAAAAAAAAAGAATAAATACCACGATTATCATTATGATTAGTGCATACAGTACACATATTGTTGTTGGTGGGCACGTGTATATTGCATTTTTTCGTCGTTGTTATCGTTGTTGTTCTCCGTTAGTTATGTTTTAAGTCTCTTTTTTTCGCTCATTCCGCGCTTTTCGTTGCCATAACACCTTTAATGATCCGAATGCATGATTACTATTTGCACTCAGTTATCGATTGAAATCCTCATTTCCGTTCCATTGAATGCTTTGCAAGCGTATGCTGTTTGAAGTCGTTGTTGGTGCTATTTTTACTATATGAATGCATGAATAATCTTCTTATGATGAGAAAAAAACTGCGACAACCCACAATATTTCTATTGCTTTTAATTCGATGATTGGCAAATGCTTGATCGTTCCATTTTATTGATTTTTGACGAAATCATATTCGTCAGCAATAAAATGCTCACATTTTTGTTCAGCTTCGAATGAAATTGAAGTTAATTTTCATGTTGATTGGACAGAAAAAGAAAGAAAATAGAGCGAAATGAAGGCAACAATCTAAGAATCAGAGAAAAAGACATTTGGTTCAACAAAATAACGACAGTTTTTTTTTAATGAAAATTGCATGTTGTGTGCACATTTTATAGTTTGTTCGACACCGACAAAAATGCCAAACGTAACAAGGAAAGACCACGACAAAATGATTATTTCAACTAATTCATCCAAAGTAATAACAAAATGAAATGAAAACAGAGCTATTTTCTTCTTGACAAGTACAATTTTCGCTTCGGCGATTACTTAAATGGAAATATTAAAGCGATTTCAAAGTAAAAGACTTCTTTTTATTTTGTGAATTTCCTTTCTGTTTTTTTGAACAGAAGAAGAAGAAAAAAATAAATAACGACAACCGACAATGGCAAAACACCAATCAAATTGTCCGAACCGGCAACAATCTAACGGTCAGCATGCATGCACATGCACGAATTAAAATATTTGTGTAACATCGTTCGGGACGACTTCAACGCCCAATCAATAAATCATTTTTAAATATTTCAATAGGTAGCCTGTAGTGGCAACAAATTAGACTATCAATATACATAATCTACGATAGTAACACATGACATGCACACATTTCGTGTGTTCTCCGTTCAATCAGACCTTTGTGTGCTATTACTTTTTTTTTCTTCTTGAATTCCTTTCGTATGCAGAGAAAAAAAAAGAGTATATGTTCTCATACCTTTTTTCAAGTTCGAAGTGGAGGCAAACATCTTGAATGGCATAACAATGCAATGTGATTATTTAAAAAAAAAGTATTGGCTTAAAGTCGTCGAGTCACCAATGTATTCCATCCCGAATTGACTGACTTAGGGAGAAAGGGAAAAAAATGCCGTAAATCGTTGCGCTTTCCTGACCAAAGTTAATTCATTTTTCTCTCTTACACTGTTTCTGAGCATTTATGCACTCATACACCAAAGACGTGCCCAATCCAATCAAATGAAACAGGAAAAAAAAAACCAGAGAACCCTGTAACTTGCTGCTGAACGGCATTCACTCACTGCCCAGAAGATTACATGCGTTTAAACTTTAATTTTAATACAGCACCAATGTTCATGCCATAAAAACCCATGCATAATGCAATTGAAAATGCAAACAAGTCCATTCGCTCTATGTTGACATGATACTAATTTATAATATTTTGTCGTTATTTTGTTGTTGCCGCTGAACTTTTTCGTATGCACATATTCCTTTTGTCAGTATATAAACTTTATTTGCCCTGAAGTGTATATGGTCGTTAGTTAATCCAATATTAAAAACACTTTTCCCGTACGGTTTATCGATCTGATCACAATCGCGCGTATGTGTCATATATTGTAATTTAGTGCACCTATATGTGGCTGCATAATTCTGTCGCTTTCCTACATTTGTGTATGCGCATCGACGAGACCGGTATATATTAGTTTAACGAAACTTTTAATTGCTCTCTTGACGGAAGCGACTACGAATTAAAATTTTCGTTGAACATTTTTTTTCTCATTTTTGTTTCATGCGCGCGTCCATTATTACATTGTGAGAAAACGTGAAAGGGACACACACATCGAGAGAGAGAGAGAGCTAAATATTTTCCGGACTTTTGACCGTCAACTATTTAATTTTCATATTCATCGAATCAGCGAGCTGAAAAGAATAATATTTTCTCAGCCATAATATACATATAGAAAATTCAATTGAAAATGACACTAAATTTACACAAAATTTAAACACCATTAGAATTGACACCAGTTTCAGTGCGTTTTTTTTTTTGTTGTATTCGTTCTTATTCTCTCTCGCTGGCTTTGTCATTTGCCTTTTTGTTTCTTCGGAAACAATAATATAAATTTACATAAAACAAACATTTTATGCGTTTGTTCTATGTGCAAATAGTGTCACATTTAGTCGCTTTGTGTGTTTGTCAAGTGATGAAACAGACCATAAAATGTGAAAACTCGAATATTGTTAGCACACAACTTATTGATTGTAGAGTGCAGTTTTTCAAATGCAAACAAAATGATAAATACGCTCATAAATCAGAAAATTGTTTTTGTTGAAAGTTGAAAACAAAGTAACGTGAAAAATACATAATGTTGCACTGATAGAATGCAAACAAGAGTGCAAAAAAAAACGTAAACAGAATGAATCCGGTGCAGCTTTAATGATGTTGCAA